TACTCACACACTCACTCTCCCTCTCGCTACACACAGCGGTGAACACACACCCTCATCTATAATTGATGCTTGCTTTAGGCAGATGCTGCAGGGATTGGGACTAAGGCAGCTGCTTAGTTTATGGAGGAAAAGGGGAGCAAGATGGTGGAACAGGTATTTTTTCACCGTTATTCTGCTTACCAAGCGCATTACTGCATTTTTTCTCCTCCTGCCCATCTTCCTTTTGTGCTGTGGCTGCACAGTAGAGCGGGTGGCTTGTGTATGACAGCGTTCGAGTGTGTGTGTGCGAGAGAGAGTGTGCGCTTTGAAGAAAGAGGGAGCCCCCTTCAGCAATTCTTTTTCAGGCTGCCTTATCAGCAGCTGTTTTGCTTTCTATCTCTATTTTCACACTTTTCATCGTCTCGTTATTTCTCGTTTCTCTTCAGTCCATCTCCAAGCTCCATTCGGGTCGATCTAGGTGGCTTAACTCACAAATTTGTCAGCCACGAATATTTCAATGAGCCGGATTCTGTCATCCACCCTGAGAGAGTGAGTGAGAGAGGCAGGCGAGAGTTAGACGCGCTGCTCTTCAAACGGTTTATTTGGCTGCGTAATAGTCAAACACTACCGCCCCAAAATGTTCTGACACATACCGCTTTAGTGCTGCTGCGCTCCACCTGGCTTTCTATCATTTTTAAGGCATTAGTGTGCGGTTCAACTCAACGCGACCGTGAGCCGCCTCTATTCGCGTGCATGCGAAATTTAGTGTGACTTCTCGCCTACGGAGCGAGGGAGGAGTAGCCTCGTTGTGTGTGAAATTATATTTGCAAAGTGTTGTAAAAAGCCCTTTACTAAAACAAAGCCGCTTTTTTTTTTATAGCTGCGTATGTTTTGTAAGTATTTGCCTGGAAGCTGAGCACAGTAAAGTGATGAATCCAGCGCGCTGCCACGTAAAACATATTTCAGTCCTCCAAATGTGGTTCTCATTAGGGTGGAGGCCAAAGCATTTAGCTAAGTCTGACTGTCTGCCATTGCCTTTTTTCTCCCAGTGTTTGCCAGCAGCTATTTTACGAGGGCCTCCAAAAAATCTCTGCACGACTATAATGACCACAAATGTAGAGCTCCCAGCAGACCTGCACCGACAGGGGCTTCCCAAGTTCCCACACCGTGGAGGCACCTCTGTCTTTTCGCTAACTTTCCTTCCGCCCTCCCCTTAACGTCTGTGACACTTGTGCATAAAGAGTTTAGCACTCCTGATCAAATGAAAGTCTAATTATGGCGTGGTGTGCCCGCTCTTGAATATCAATGCGCTATGCGAAGTGCTGATGGTGTTAATGGGAAACAGTGTGATGTGTGTAACATCTGCTTAAGGAACAGCAGGGATTTTTTACAAGGTCCCGTTTACAGAGTAGCAAGATGCAGCTTCCCTCCTGGCTCTCATCGACACGTTCGACTCGCCAAGAATGAAAATCTTGTCATTATTTACACGTTCCAAAGCTGTGTGACTGATGTCTGTGGAACCCAAAAGGTGAATTTTTGAAGAATATACTGGCTGGTCTTTTCAACATTTAAACATTTGGCAGATGCTTTTATCCAAAGCAATTTACATTGCACTCAAGGATTACATTTTTATTAGTTTACACACTCCCTGGGAATCAAACCCATAACCTTGGCGTTGCTAGTACTGTTTGAGCTACAGGAATTCACAATATAATGAAAGTGAATGAGAACTGGACCTGTCAAGCTTCATAAAGGATACAAAAGTGCTGTATAAGTATCATAATTGTGAGATCCATATTCCTTCTATGTATGTGGTATATGCACTATATTAGTAAAATTATAACTTTGTGTGAGGAACAGACCAAAATTTACCCTGTTTTCATTTATTGTCTTCCATTCCAGATGGATTTTGACCATTACAACCAGATCATTGAAACAGAGGTGAAGTTTATTCAGTCCAATTCGTGAACAAATTATTTAGTCCAGTTTTGCAAAGCATATCAAGTGATTCATTGAAAAGATTTCTCTCAAAAGAACTGTTTGTGATTTTAAGCAAATAAATTACATTTCGGTCTGTTCCTCACACAAAACTATCATATCCTATTGTGTAGAAAGTCTAATGGGTTTGGAACAGCATGAGGATGAGGAAATGATGACAGATTTAATTTTTAGACTGGAATATTTCTTTAAATCACAGATAGAGCTCTGAACTTTCTCTCCTTTTATCCTACGCTTTGTACGTAGGGGGTGTTTCTGTGTAGTGTGGCATTATGGTCAGAGGAGCGAAAGTGGTGGGAGAGTGTGATTCGCTTTGTTTTTAGCATGTGCAGTTGTCCCGTGTCAGAGTGTGTTTTCGACAGGCCTGTGGGTGATGGGATCTCTGCCTACATAACTACTGCTTTGGCCTGGAGAAAGAAATGTGTGTGTGTGTGTGTGTGCGTGTGTGTGTTTGAAGTGTGTCACGAAGTGTTTCCTCCTGTAAGAAGGGAAAATCACAAATTAGTTGTCTCTGTTATCTCACTTGTTTCTCCTAGACTGCACTGAAATTAAAAAGAAAAGAAAATAGAGACTTCTTAAAAGGATAATTTACCCAAATATGAAAATTATGTCATAATTTACTTACCTTCCTGTAAGTATTTATTTCTACTGCAGAACAGAAGATATTTTGGGGGGGGAAAAAAAAAATATATATATATATCATTTTGTTGTCTATAAAATGAAATTCAGTGGTGTCTAATGTTGTTTTGAAGTATACTTATTTTCATTGTTGACAAACATTTTTCAATATATGTTATTTTGTGTTCTGCAAAAGAATTTGGAATGATATGATGGTGAGTGAATAAGGACAGAATTTTCATTTTTGGGTGAACTATCCTTTTATGTCATCTGGGTCTCAGATTTTTTATTTTTTATTTTTTGGTACCTTGAAAAATCTGAGCACACTGAAACTGGCAAAGTCTTTCTTGAAGATGAATTTCTTCGAGTCAAAGATATGAATGCAAACACTTCTCATTAAATTCTCCCAAGACAGAATTGTCTGAGCTATACTATGCACATTCATTATGGCTATACCTTTATACTTGTATCTCCACTATTATTAATTGTCAGAAACCTCTGACAGTGTTGTTACTGTTAACGGAAACTATTAAAAATTGTTTTTGTTAATTGAATTAAGCTGAAATGAAATACAATATCAAATATAAAAAAAGGAGTAAAAAAATAAAGCTAAGGATAAATATATTTTAAAAAATAACAAAAGCACATACCTAAATTATTAAAACTTAAGCTAAAATTAAAATGAACACAGAAAAGCTCATTCAAAATATGAATATATTCTATAATAGTATATAAATAATACCAAAATGACACTGACCTCTAAGCATTAACATTTTCCAGTATGCTGTACAGAACAAAAGCACACCATCTAGTTCTACAAAACCCAGACGAATAATGCTATCATCACCTGAAGTCTAAACAAATAGTGTCCCCATCAAATCCACACAGCTGTTTAGATGAATGTATTTTTCATGAAACATCCTCATTATCTCTGTTTCGGTGCATCACATGACCCATGCCTGTTGTGTGTGTTTGCATTCTTCTAATCTGCCATTGTTTATTGATGGCGAGCGCTAATTTAGCCGGCTTTTTGGTCTCTTGGGCGCGGCATGCAAAGTGGCGGTTTAGCGTTGATTCTGTGTGCGGGGTAGAGAGACGTCTCCACGCATAAGTGGATAATCTGGGTGCTGGGAGGTGGATGAATTGGTCCTGATCAAATAAGAAAGCTCTTCCTGAGATAAAGGTCTGATGTGTGTTGTGTATGGAACACATTTGTCCATGGGTGTCCCTTGTTCATTTGTTGTCGGTCTGGTGCATGCTAACACTAATTGAATTAGCCCAGCTGTATGAGTGAACTTGTGTCTGAAGCCGAGCGTGTGCTTCGCTAATGGTTTACAAACAGAGAGCACGACTGATGCGAGATGTAGCGTGTGTTATGTGGAGCTCATATAAAGACCAAAAGTATGTGGAAACCCCTTATAATGAGCATGTTTGATGCATAAAATCATGTATACAAGCATGTCTAACCTCTTGAGTCTAAATGAGAGCAAATCCCATGATGCAGTGTCAGGTGGAAAATAGGGATAAAGCCGAATAGTAACTTTAAAACAATAATGAATTCTACTGAATAATAGGGAATACAAATATAACTTTAATAGAGTTATATTTTCATGAACATATTTCAAATTATGAATCTAAAGCCCATATGACTAAACTGTAAATGTCTTGAATTAGTCTGTGCACAGTGTGATTTCAAGTTCAAATTGGATGGTGTCCTTTTATTTTTAATTGTCTTTGTATAAACAAAAATAGCATTAAACAAAGATACTATATAATTCATGTTTTTTGCTATATCTATATTCATATTTTAAACTTTGCAAGCAAGATATATGATAACATGTTTCTGTAGTTTCTGCAGCAGTAGTGATGCTTCAGAATCTGTTTTAGTACAAATAAAATAGTACGAACGAGAAAAAAAAAGTGTTCAATCTGATTTGTTATTTTCAGGATGTTGAGGAAGCTCTTTTTGGAGTCTCTTTTTTAATGAAGAATTTTAAGACTGGCCTTTTTTATAATGAATCAATATGAATAAAATGATTCAGTTATATGCTTGTGCGTATTTGTAGCTTAAAAGTAGTTATACTGTAAGTTGTCACACTCTCCTGGTTTAGCTATGTAACCTGCATAAAGGATCAGTGAACGAATCTGAATGAATCTTTTAGGTGGGTTAAAAAAAACTAAGATGAATAAAAAATGTAACACATATTTACAAATAAATAAAGCTGGCAAAAAAATAGCTATTGTAGCAGCTTAAAGAGTTCAAAGAGTGAATGGCTTTCAATGTCCAGTGTTTTGAAATTAAATGCAGATATGGATGTGCTGTTCAGATGTCCACATACTTTTGGTCATTTAGTGAACTATGCTAACACGGCACTAACGTTTTGCTGGCGTTCTCTGTTTTTCAGGGTAATCAAGACGCCCCAGCACCCCCAGAAACCATGGCCCAGCCTTACCCATCAGCCCAGTTCGCTCCCCCTCAGAACGGCATTCCTGCTGAGTACACGCCGTCCCACCCTCACCCAACTCCGGACTACTCTGGCCAGACCCCCGGGGCAGAGCACACGCTGAACATGTACACCCCTGCCCAGACGCACAGTGAGCCCAGCGGACCAGACAACAGCGTACAGACGGTCTCCGGCACAGCCACAGTAAGCACCGATCTCTACAGTATATCTCTCTCTTTCTCCCTCGCTTATATCTCTGACACTTCTTGATGGCATTGCTCGTCACGGTTCAGGTTTTTTGGATTGTGTTGTGGATTGAGGTGCCCTCCGTGATCTGTCCTCCAAGGACATCAGTGCTGTAGCCCGCCTTAATATTTCATATGTTTCAGGGCATTTCCATGAATAATTGACTATCTTTGTGTTATTTCACCAACTCTGAGTACAAAGTGCTCTCGCTAAATTTAGTTTAGTGACATTTTTACTCTAGGTTTTAAAAATAATTTCAAGAGCATTTTCTGTCCCCAAATGGTAAGATTTAGTGTTATTCTGCATGGTAACAGAGAATCAAGAATGTGGTTTATTAGTTAGTTTATTAGTTATTAGTTTATTAGTTCTCCCAAAAATCTAATGTAATTATTTTCTCACCTTCATGTCCTGATTGATTTAGTATTTTATATTAAAGGCATAAGAAAATGTAAAATCATATAATTTATATATATATATATATATATATATATATATATATATATATTTATATATTTTTAACAATCAGATGACAGCTGGGATGAGCCTGGGGGCTTCTTGCCCCATGGTAAAGGGGCAGTATGGCCCATTTTCATGATTGTCATTACTTTGAATTGTGCAATATAAACTAAATTAGCAAATATTTGCATTTATTTCACCTAATTTTATCTGAGAAAATACATCAGCACCCTGTAAATGCTAAAGTTCTCTGTAAATGTAATACAATTTGACAGACAGTAAATCCGTACTGTTCATCCCCACGTGTGAACTTCATTTATGATTTTTGGAGCTAAACAAATGCAGGGATTAAAGTTACGTCGCTACAATGGATTTCCGTCAGTTCATAAAGACAGTCACTTGCTTCATTCCTGAATGATTCAGCCGTTCGTACGAATCAGTTGAATGAATGATTCAGTGATAAAATCATTGACTTGCCGCCACCTGCTGGTGGATTTAGTTTAAATTTTAGCGTATAATTTCAGTTATTTGAATCATATTTCTGTATTCAAAATGTTATATTTAAAACATTAATCTCCACATTAATTTATGAATGTAATTGCACTCATGCCACCTCTGAGCCTCATTAAACGTCTGAAAATGTACCTACAAGCCACTTTTGTGTTCTTCTGTGCCACCTCTGTAGTACAAATTCATTTATTAATACTAATTTCATATGATTGGTAACTTATTTGTCTTATTCTACTTCTTATTATATTGCAGGGGTTAAAGCAAAAAAAATTATTTTGACTGAAAATTATTCTTCGACCAAACCCCATTCCTCAGCCATACCTGTCACACACCCAGTTTAGGAGCAGTTTTTTTCTTCTTGTAATTAGGAGCACTTGTCCTCCTAATTTAAAAATTTAGGAGCACCTTCTAATCAATAATAAAAAATTCTGATCAAAAATCAGCCTTCCTACGAGGTGACATTTGACTCCTTAAAGTGACTTACAGGAGTATTTTCTTTTTACCTTTGTAATGGCATCATTTTCATCTGTCAAATTCAAAAATGTACGTTTATAATCTTTTTAAAATTTCTATTTAAAACATAGGATAAGACAAATAAGTTACCAATCATATGAAATTAGTATAATCAATTAATTTGTACTACAGAGGTGGCACAGAAGAACACAAAAGTGGCTTATAGGTACATTTTCAGACGTTTAATGAGGCTCAGCGGTAGCATGAGTGCAATTAAATTCATAAATTCATGTGGAGATTAATGTTTTAAATATAACATTTTGAATACAGAAATATGATTCAAATAACTGAAAATATACGCTAAAATTGAAACTAAATCCACCAGCAGGTGGCGGCAAGTCACTGATTTGATCACTGAATCATTCATTCAATTGATTCGTTCGAACTGCTGAATCATTCAGGAATGAAGCAAGTCTTTATGAATTGACGGAAATCCGTCGTAGCGACGGAACTTTAATCCCTGCAAATGTGGTCACTATGTTGTACGGCACAAGCTTTCGTGCTGCGTTGGAAAAAAAAACAGAATGCAGGTTTGGAGCTATGTGAGGGTGAGAAAATAGTAAAAAAAAAAGTTTAATTGAGGTTGAACCATTCCTTAGAAAGTGCAAAATTTTACTCATTTTAACTCCTTTTTTGTTCAACAGACAGAATGTTTAAACCGTTTCACTGATTTAAAGGAAAATGTGAGCTTTCTTTCGAACAGCGGCCAGACTTTCATTGCCTATCCTACCTTAGTGTTCAAATTTCTTTTTTAGTGCCAGAGCAGAAGGGAACAAAACCACATCTGGAAAAGCCATTATTTCCCCCCCTGCCTCTCTCCTTCTCCCTCTGACTGTCTATCACTTTCCTAGACGAGTGTTATGGAGAGAAAGCAAAACTTTACAGACATCCAAAGCTATGACCTCATGTGGCTAGAGCTGTTTTTAGATCCAAGTCATTCATCACAACTGATCCTTCATCTGCAAACAAAAGAGGCCTAGACTGTGATACTTCCCCTGTTCGCATCTTTTCTTTGTTTGTTGGAGTTGGTGATAACCAATGAGCCCCCAGAGGGATGTTTTTTATATAGTAATAGATGGTTTTCATTTCTGTTTTGATAGAGGACCGTGCATTCCCGCCATATTCTCAGTGGTCAGTGTGTATGAGAGCTTGTGGATTTCTGAAATGTTCATTTCGAATGTGAACACATACAAACTTATTGTAAAGTGTTACTAAAATAATATATTATAGGTTGCTTGTTGAAAGTAAATGCTGTTCCATATGCATTTCAGAAATACACTAAGTTTCGTTAGAAGTCAATAAAAAAATTTTTTTTAAAGAAATTGGTTTCCACAAAAATATTACGCAGCACAACCTTTTTAACATTTGATAATAATAGGAAAATTTCTTGAGCACCAAATCAGCATATTACAGTGATTGCTAAATGATCGTGTGACATTGGATACTGCTGAAAATTCAGCTTTGCCATCACACAGGTAAATTACATATTAAAATGAATATATTCACATTGAAAACAGTTATTTTAAATTATAGTAATATTTCACATCATTAATAATGTTTACTGAATTTTTGATAAAGGAATGCAGCCTTGGTGAGCATAGCGTTTTCAAAAGCATTAAAAAATCTTGCAGACCCCAAACTTTTGAACAGTTACATAAGTTCACATTTGTTTAGAATTAACAATGAACAATATTTTATTTATAAATTAACATTATCTTAAATGGATTAATGCTGTAAAGAAATGTTCCTTGTTATTTCATGCCTACTGTAGAAGCTAATGAATAAATTGAAACGAAATGTTAGTATATTTATCTTAACATACTTTTCATTAACCAAGTAATATCTGCATCTAAGTTTGTAATATTTTTTAATTGCTTAAAAAATAACTACAATAATGCAGCAGAAATAATTTTTAATTATTGTCTGCTACCAACAGTTTTGTTACGACTGTTATTATTAATTGTCACCTTCTTTTCAGGACATTAGTCATCAAATTCTCAGTAAACACCACGGGTGTAATGATGGTCACAGATGCAGGGGTGGACCTTTAATTTAACTGACCTGAGTGGTTGTTAAATCCAGCCCACTCACAGATCATTTCGAGTTCATTTAGTTTCAGACAATACAGAAATTGGTGATGTCCAAGTGGGTGAATTGTATACTCTGTAATTAGCCCGTGCATTGCCGCCAGCTTGACCCATTCAGGCCGGTTTGTGGGCAGTGTGTGAACATGATAGCCAGGCATTATATCGTTGACTGTAATCAGCCAATCATAGTGACACAGAGGCACTGCTTCCTCTCAAATTACCTTTTGCCTGTAGGTGTCACTGTTGGCTAGTGTTGCTTCAGATGGATGAATGATTTATTTGATCTCATATTTAAAAAATATTTTCTAAAAAGGACGTCTCACCAACGGTGTTTGACTAATCAGTGTAGATGTCAGCTCAGTGTGACGGCTTGCTGCTCTGACTCCTGACGCTCTTCATTGGCCCTCTTCCCCCATGTGTTCCCGAGAGAAACGGCCCCGGCATGCCCATCCTCATCCAGCCGGAGTGAGAGCTGCCATTCCTTAAGGGTGGACATGTGTGGAATGGGTCATACTCGGACATCTTGCAGAACAGCCCCTTCTCAGCCCCTCTGGTGCAGCTTTTGAGGGTCGACGGATGGTTGTGACCTCACAGATGATGGTGGACTTTGACTTAGACAGTTACTGCTTTTCATCCAAGTAATGTTGCTGTGCTGAAAATAGCAACATCGCCGATGTACTTTATTTGTCTTTTTTGCCTCCGTGGTTTACTGAGTGCAGGAAATCCTCAGTGTTGTACCTCTGCACTATTGTGAGGTTGTTTGTGCAAGAGAACATCTTCACAAATGAGCTCTGAAGCACTGAACACTGTGGCTGCCATATGTTTATCTTCCACAAATGCTTGGTTTTTGTTTTCCTGCTCACGTAAAATCAACAATGCAGCAAAATATGCGTTTGTTATAATGAACGACTATTAATGAATCTTTTGATACCAAAAAAGATTAACTGGAAGCCTTTTTTGTGTTTGTTATTGTTTTTCCCTCCATGTTGGAGTCCTCTGCCAGTGAGAAGAGTGCGGCACAGATGGCACGCTATGTAAACTGTCAGCCGTATGCATGCTATATACACATACACACACACACACACACACACAGAGACGCTGTATTTTTACCTGGCACACATCCCAGAATTGATCCAAGAAAGGAATGAAAATATTCTTCTCTTTTTAGCTAGGTTAACTAAGTAGCTGGCCATATTCCTATGTATATACATAAAATGTATAGGGGAATAAAATGTGCATATAAATGTGCATATTTTCCCTATATATAAAACCAGTATATAACCAGTCAAATATTTTCCTTTTGAAGGATTTTTTCCAGTGTGAGGAATAATTGCGTCAGCCATTGATTCATGGGGGAGTTTTTGTTTAATTATGTGTTTGAAAGGAGCATGA